ACCACTAACACACATAAGGCCTAGGGGTACCAGTTATACATTGACTTGTTCATTCAATGCTAACCCATTGGCTAATTCTGTCACATGGTCACGTAATGGTACAACATTGGATCCTACTGCTTACACACATATCAGTGTAAATAATCAATCAAACTCTTCGCAGTTGATATTCTCACCACTGGAAGGACTGGATGATAGTGGAGAGTATACTTGTGAAGTATCTAATGGAGTTTTAACTAGGAGTAGATCATTATTGAATCTTACTGTTCAAGGTATGTTGGAATGTTTCCTTTATCTTTATTATTCCTTATTTTCCAGTTAATCCTAGTCCAGTTGGTAGTTTGATGGCTCCTACTATTGATATCACAAATACAAGTGTTAGGCTAACATGGACATTAGGTTTTAATGGAAATGCAGCATTGACTGGAGGTAGTGTATCATATACTGCTATATCTAATGGAGTTGGTTCTGGTCAATCTTCCTTTACTGGAGAGACTGTTATTGAATACACTGTGACTGGTCTACTACCTTTTACTACATACAGGTTCAGTGTGTCTGTTACTAATTCTGTTGGTGATAGTACTGTACAGACTGTAGAAGCAACCACAATAGCAAATGGTATCTTGTATATTTAAAAAGGAAATTAGTAATTATTGTTTTTCCTTTCTCTAATCACTCGATTAGCTCCAAATGCTCCAACTCTTGATAGTGTTACACCAGTTAACTCAACTGCACTTGAAGCTACCTGGAGAGTATGTTTACTTTGATTCAAGTACACAAATTCCTCTCTCTCCCTCCTCTCTCTCCTTTAGGATAATACTGATCCAATGATACAAAGTGCAGTGATTACATACAGTGTGGTATATTATCAACAAGGACAGGATTCATCATCAGTTACATTGACAGTCAATGCTCCTACTACTACAGTAATGATAGGTGGTTTATCTAAAGGAACACATTACATAGTACAAGTATATGCTACTAATACTATTGGATCCAGTTCATCAAGTAACCTATTGACCACCAGGACTAATATTGATTGTAAGTTGTAATCATGCACTTACATGTATAATACATGTATGTGTGCATTGTACATACTGGTGAACTTTTGTTATTCTATATCATATATTTATAATACATGTACTTTTTATAAATCTATTATATCTGTTTATGTTTTGAAACTTGACATTATTGTAAGTTTGTTTTTTGTGTATTGATATGTAGACTATGCATTCTTTTCTTTCTCTTTGTCAATAATCTCCGTCTCTTTCTCATCCTCCATTACACAGCTCCCTCTCCAGCCACTGATATCACTGGCCTCACCCAGCTTTGCATAGGCAAGGACTAGGTACTTGGTTTGTCTGTCTGTGTTTCATTACCTGAGACACGCCTATAGGCATGATCAAGGGTAAAGCAGTCGTCCTGTGTGTGTGTGTGTGTGTTCACTTCCCCTCCACTTTTGAGCTGACATTGCTTTCTTGTCTAGTCCTGGAGAGTCTTATAATCAATACTGGATGTGCCACCATTTACTGTGTGCGCCAGCTGTGCAGGTGGGGCATGGCTTGATGGAGTCATACCTTCATTGCAGCCACACCTTTACATTGCTACAGCATGCACCAGTGCAGCAAACATGCTGAAGCTTCTTCTCTGTCTAAAAAACATTCTCTGTCTCAAAACATTCACTAAGTTTTAATAAATCTAGTACATGCTGAAGCTTCTTCTTTGTCTCAAAATTTTCACCAATTATTTTCTCTTAATTTATTAAAACTGTTACATACATATTGTCTCGAGGGTACGCACTTAAGTGCTCTCATTCATTCATTCATTCTGTGTGCTCTCTTTTGTCTTTGAGAATGTATATCTTTATAATCGCACGCTATAAATCTATGAGAGCTTCTCTTCTGTTAGGAAAAGTCTTGCTTTACTGCCCCGAGATGTTTAGAGAGCAGCTCTAGGTAGTGCAAGCTTTTTAACTCACAAGAAAATGCTCAGCAATAGCGGTAGTACTCTGGAGGTAAATGAGACTCTTTCCCAGTAGATCAAGAATAATTATGTGTGGGACTCGTTAAATCTTTTTTGCTGGTGAGTTATAGCTCAAATTTCATCCAAAGTGAAGTACTATAATAGCAGTAGTTCGGCTAGTTTAAGGATCCTAAACTCTCTTAAGTCACTCAACCTATCTAGGCAACAGTATTTGTGCCATTACAACATCATAATAGTGCTTAGAAGAAGAGAAAAAAACTGAAGCTTCCCTCTCACATGGTCTTGCTGCATGCCTCCAAGCAGGACCAAGGTGGGAGTTGCTTGAGCCTGGGCCCTGGAGCAGCTTGCTGCACTTCTGCAAGCATGCCAGAGCAAGTGTAACAATATTTTGAATTGAATTCAGCGATATATTTGTTCAATGTTATGTAATGAGGGGATTCATCATAATTTTTGTAATAAAATGATCATTATATTGGTGTAATGTGCACTTGCAGATCACTCTGTTACCAAATTTTAAAGTTGTAGTTGTATTGCTGTTATATATGCAATTTTTTAGATCTTGTTGCTTGTGGAATGGAAACTACAGTTAGTAGTGATCATGGTACATTTGAATGGCCAGAGACAATTCCAGACAGTACAGTTAATATATCATGTCCTAATGGTCCTAGTGGTGCTACTGCTAATAGAAAATGCACTAATAATAGTACTTGGGAATCACCTAATGTAACATTCTGTGCAACATCTGTGATATCTAATCAATTTAGAAACATTTCAAAAGTAAATAATAATAAAGACTTGATATGTAATTGTACTATAATTTCTTCAATTGTATATTCAATAGGTAAATGTTACTGCTGAAAATGTAGTATCAATATTTGAGAACTTAACTGATCTAGTGATGAGCACTACTGATGCTGCTGATCAGAATACTGACAACATTAGAACAGTGTCTGCCATATTGAACCAAACAGCAATACTATTGTCAGATCCTAAAATTATCATGAATCTCTCATCATCAGAATTATTGATGGTACATCACATGTTTTATCATTAAATGATTTCTTTGAAGACAACAGAAAATACTGTGCAGATACTTGACAGCATAGAGGAATGGTCACCAGCTGTAGTGGAGACAGAGTCAAATAAGTAATATTTATTTTTATGTTCACATGTACATGATTACTTTAATTATATAGCATTATCAATTCTTTTGAGAGGATCATTGATGCTTTAATAAATCAAGACAATTTTACCAACGTAACAGTTGTGGAGAATGACATTGCTTTAAAAGGAGAAAGTGTAAGCCTCCTGCCTTGCTTTCTTTCCGATTTTTGTTCATTTTATAGTTTCAACAAGCAGTGTTTAATGGAATAGAATTTACAGCAGCTTCTATTAGTAAGCATAGCAATAACTTACATGTAAATCTATGTACTACACATTGTGTCATCTAGTAATAATGGGAAGTAAGTTCCATAGTTTATTATCAGTAATTGAAAATTTGTACTTACATGTATTCTATTC